TGTGACCCCAGGGCAGCAGGAGGGTCTCCTCCTTGTGACCCCAGGGCCTCAGAACTTCATATTTTAGTTTCTGTTCTCTTCACTTTTCAACTTCTGCACATGTTGTAAGATATTAAAACATAACATCAGCTCCAGCACGGAGGTTTCATTCATGTTTTAAATAATTTTATTTATAAAAAACATTTTTATAATTTCAATTTTAATGACAGAATGAAGTCGCACAAAAATCAAGTAAATAAGAAACGTGTAAAGAATGATAAAACTTTTAATTATGTTTCATGTTTGCTTCACAGGTTCAGTCGAGTTTTAAAAAAAGAAACGACAAAAGACGAATCTGTGTTTTTATAAAGATAAAATAGTTCAGTTTGAATTAAACGTTCAAGGTTAAAGATCCAGAGTTTTTATAAAAATAAAAATAAAAAACTGAAACTTCACGAAGTTTGTTCTGCTCACAAACAGTTTGACCTGAAGGATCAATAAAACGTTTCATCTACAATCTGCTGATCGATCATGAGACATGAGATCAAACATGAGGAGGAGGAGCATAGGAGGAGGAGGTGAAGACCATGTGAGGAGGAGGGACAGAGAGTTGTTGATGGGAGGCAGGAGGAGGCGACAAAGTTTTAAAGTTCAGCAGCTGCTCCTGAACGCAGCATCTGTTTGTTTGGGCTCAGTTTGAGTCCATCTGCTCCATAAAGACCAGATGGACCCCTCCTCCTCCTCCTCCTCCTCCTCCTTCTCCTCCTCCTCCCTCCAGGTGATTTGAAGTGCTCGTTAATTGGACCTGATGTCACACTTGGTTTTTAATTTTCATGAAGCATTTCAGCTGTTTAACTCGTTAAGAACTTCCTGACGGACGAGGAGATAATCTGACGTCCAGCATCAATCCTCTGAGGAGGAGCTCGATCTGCTGCTGATCAGTCAAAATAAAAAAAAAACATTATTTTCATTCAACACACGACACTTTACACAGTTTTACATTTTTATATAATTTGTAGATTTTATTCAAAATGTTATAAATGTTTGTTTACACCGAGTTACACCCACAAATAATAATTAAATTAATTCAACAAACTTAAACCAGTTTACGATATAAAAAATAGTAATTAAATGTTAAATTGATAAAAACCTAAGCCAACTGTTATTTTGAAGTGTGTATTTGAGCTTTATTTTGAAATTCCGTGTTAAAACCTCCTCTTCTGTTCTGTTGTTTGACGGTAAACACAAAATTCTGATGATCCTCAATATAGAAGCTGAAATGAAAGATGACGGAAAATAAAGGAAAACTAGGCAGGAACAACAACAAAAGCTTTGTAATATAAAATCTGCTGAGTCACTGGTTGTCATGGTGATTCCCGCCTTTTTCATGGCAAGCAGAGAGGGGGAGGGGCTTCACAAAGCAGCACTAAACAGAGAAACACAAACTAAACAGTTCATCTCAATAAAAACTGAGTTTTATCAAGACAATTGTAAAAATGTGTTCTAGAAAAGGTTCTGATGGTCACGCATGTTCATTTGAACATGTTGAACACAATTTAAGTTTAAAATCTGACCTCAGAGTCAGTGGAAGTCGGTGAGAGTTTGGGTGTGCACCCTGCACCACAACCACCAGTTCTGGCTGGAAGGAGACAAAAAAAAATACTTTTGGATGTTTAATCTGGAGAAAATGTGCAAAGATTGTGGATTAAAAAGAGTTTGTTCGTGAGAAAGATTAAAAGTTGACAGCTCTACGTTTAGTTTTAGTCAAATATTTTGTTGTTAAAAACTTTAAAATCCTCCTTTTAACCTGTGACTCTGTGAAAAGTGTTAAAGACGTGAAAACAGCAGATCCGTCATGGAACGTCCAACTTCCTGTGACCCGTGTGAACTCTGAATGGTTCTGCTGAGACTCACCGGGAACATATTTCTACGGTTAGTTGCGTTTTTTGCCGACGACTTTCTGCTTCAACAAGTTTGAGCGCACGCGTCCTGCTCGACGTGTTTTTGTTGGTTTGTTTAAACTTTTTTTAACCTGCAGGAGCAGAAAACCACAAACTATGGCAGAAAATGAAGATTAAGAAAAGGAACACATTGACAGGCCTAAAAATCAACATGGACAAAGTGGTGTTTACCAGCAAATCGTCAGATCCCATAAATCTAATAATTTGGTTGTTTTCTCCTTTAAAACAAATCTATATTCAGGTTTCTTTGATATATATATTAATTTAATCACTTTATTCCATGAATTAGACTGAACCACTTTAGACCCAAGAATTAGTCACGTCCCTCCTGGTTCTGGTCTTTAGACAGGTGTTTCAGTTCATCTAAAGTAACATCTAAAACTTAACAAGATGCACTTTAAATTAAAAAACAAATCTTTGGTGTGGACGTTGTAATCCAGAAATTAGACAGAGCCACCGTCTCCGGGTTTCACCTCATCTTGAGGTTCTTTTAAACGAGGCTTGTTAAAGTTCAGCACGACAACGCAGAGGAGGTGAAACGAGAAAAGTAATTATGGTGAAAAATAAAGATTCAAAGAAAACGTGGACAATAAAAATCCACCACAGAACCAGCACCGGGAGCTCAGAACGTTCTGTGATGACGCTGAAGACAGATGTTTGCGTTCACAGGAGAAGCAGCGGTTCCTCACCGACGTCCTCCACGAAGTGATGCTGCTGGACGGTCTGAGTTCGTCTCACCCCATCTCCCAGGAGGTGGAGCGGGCCACCGACATCGACAGAGTCTTCGACTGGATCGCCTACAAGAAGGTAGCTCGACATGGTTTCTGTCTCCACGAGGGTTTTACACAAACGCCTTTTTTTTTAGACGTTTCAGTTGAAGGAACGCTCCCAAAACTTTTTTCCTTTTTGAAATCAGCCAGTTTTACTCGAGCTTTGTCCGCGAGTCAGAATCCAACTTCACGATCAGTTAAATCGTGGTTCTGTGGAACGGTCATGAACAATTCAGACTAAATAATTTCTGACTGGATTGATGATAACGGCCCAGAACAAAGTGGATCACCGTCATCTGTGAGCGAGTCGACATTAAAGATGTCATCACGCTTCACGCTAACGTTGGTTTGTCTATCCAAGCTGGCTGGCACTGATGACATCATCAACCAGGGACAGTGACTCTCACCCCATAATATATATATATATATATATATATATATATATATATATATATAAATGCTAAAAAGAAGTCAGTAGGTTTTTTTTACATCAGAGAGATGAATTACTGGAATGTTGAATAAGAGTTTATCTAAAGGAAAAACATGAAAGCTTTATTTTAGATTTTCATTAAAGCTCAGATAGCATCAGCAGCTAGCTGTAGCACTTCCTACAGGAAGCCCATAATATTTCTGCTGGTGAAAAAAACAAAACAGTTTATAAAAAAATGTTTCATGAAGCGACACCTGACGCTGTAGACTAGCCATTTACTCATCAGTCTGATCCAAATTAAACTATTTTCCAAACTTAGCAACCTTCAAAGAGTTATGCACTGCAGGTAAGATATTAACTGTTCATAGTTTTACCACATAATCCACTTTAACTGCTCTGAACTGACCCTAAAAGCATTTAATGACCTTGTTTTTTTTAATGTTGTAGTTGTTGCGTGGTTGAAGTGTTTCACAGTAAACTCTTGTTGATGTTGTTGTTTGTGTTTGTTTGTTTGTGTGACCTGTAGGGGGCGGCGCTGATCCGAATGCTGGCCAACGTGATGGGACAGCCGCTGTTCCAGAAAGGACTCAACGTAAGTTCAGCCTGTGGTTTTTGTTTGTCTCTACCTGAGAGCTTTGACTCCAGCTGTACCCTGGAGACCAGGTCTGGTTCCCGGGTTCCGGCTTCAGAACTGGTTTTAGGCGTTAAAAACCAGATTCTGTTTGTTTTGAGTTAAACCATCTTCAGCTGCAATGAAGGTGAGCAGTCTGATCTAAAAAAAATAAACCTGTTACAGGAAGCACCCTGTCAAAATAAGAGCGTTCCGGGATCCTGTTCCTGCAGGATCTGGCTCACATTAAGTCCCGCCTCTGGACATGGACACCAGTGACCCACAAATGAAGAAGCAGGAAAAGATGATGGATGGATTTTGTTTTTCTACAGAATATTTAAAAAGAGACACAATTAATAAAAACAACAACAACAAAAAGTCCCACTCGGTGAAACACGACTAAACCTTCACGGTCACGTGGAGTTTACCACAAACAAACAAACAAACAAACAAAATGAAGCAGCGTTCAGAGGACTGCACGTCACTCACCACCTCCAGCCCTCAGTCTGTGAGGGACGACTCTCAGCTACTACCACTCTGAAGTTTAGCTTTGTGTTTGTAAAACTCTAGATGTTTTTATTACTCAGATGGATTAGCTGTGGCAGCCATCTTGATTCAGGTTGACCCCATAAATAAAATAAATTTCTATGAATTGACAAACAGAAGCACGGAGAATCAGTAAAAAACTACAGGAAGTAACTCCTTGTGGCCTCAGGGAGGAGGACGGTGGTTCTGTTTTCAGGATGAACTCAGTTTGGACCGGTTCTGTCTGAAACTGGTCCCTGAAACGCAGAACCTCAATATTTATCTGGAGTTGCAACAAAGAGACGAGCATCAAACAACCGGGTTTCTCACATCTAATTCTGTGGGAAGAATCCGGTAATCTTGGCTGGAGTAGGAGCCGTTAGCGCTCGGCGCCTGGATGTAAATAACAGCCGAAGTGTTGGCTGCGTGGATCCGCAGGAAGCCGCGGCCTCATTACCCGACTGTAAACTCTAACTGCAGCACGGTAAATCTGTCGCCTTCGTTTTCACGACTGCCGCCGACAGATCCTTCCTAATGAAATCCTTCGGCTTGTATTTTTTTATAGGCGGCTTGTTATCGCTGACAGCTGCTTGCCTTTAATTACGCCCTTAAAGCTGTTTGTGCCGGGCGCTGCGTGCATCTGTTCGTGTCAGCCGAGGTGGCGGAGTCAGACTCGCACACACCTCGCGCGCCGTTATCGTGTCATCTTGTTCCGGTAAAGAGCTCGTGCTCGCCTCATCGGGCTCGGAGCGCTCGGCGACAAATAAAGAGGCGGGCGAGAGGAGCTGGAGGTGTCCCGTTGTCTCCAGCTGCGATTACACACGTCCTTTCATGCGCCGAAGCTTTGACGAGCTTTAATCCTCGGCTCCGAGAACAAACTGGAGGCGCCGAGGACGGGCAGGTGACCAAAGCGAGCCGAAAACACCGGACTCCTCCACACCTCTTAGTCTGAGCGGATCTTATCGCCCCCGTCCTGACACGTCGGCCCCGCAGATTAAAAATTCAGCTCCTCTGCTGCGACGTGTCGTTCTAAAAGCTTTTCAGTGTCCGCTGCCATTGTTAGACCCTTAAAAATAAAGAAGTTCACTCCAAGACGCCTCCAGAGTCTCAGACTCAACAAAATCCGGCTCTTTGGACGACGACTGCGTAAAATAATTTACACCAAAAAGCTTTAAACAAGTTTTGATCCATTTTTATAACTCGTGCTCGAAGAACACATCGTGTTTTAGTTTAAGGAGGCTTGCATCATCCTGTACAGGAAGTTGGATACATCTTTGATCTGAGGTTCTGTGGAGACATTATGGACAGTTAATATCTTACCTGTTGCAGAAAGCTCATTAGAACGCCCTCAGTTAGTAGAAACAGTTTAATTCTGAGCAGACTGATGAAGTTACGGTTCAAACCAGAGTGGATATGTTGGAGCAGATGAGTGACCAGATTCAGCAAAACATTTACGATCTGGACTCGAGCCTAAAACTGTTCCTTTGATGTGACTTTTTTTTTTTAAGTGTTTTTTTTTCCTGAAATTTCAAAATGGCTGCCATTTTTATCAGTTTCCCAATGTGCAACATAAAAGCATGTTATTTTCATTAAAGCAAATTATTTTTTAAAGATTGGATTTAAAAAAAAAAGTGTAAATCTTATAAAAGGGCGGCCATTTTGAATTTTTTGTTTCTTTCAATAAGCAAATGAGCGATTTAGCAAGAAAAATAAATCCTACAATAAAACATTATTCCTTTCCACATTTATACGTCATAAAATCCTACATATTAAAATGCCATTTAAAAATACAGCACTTTTGTCGGCCATTTTGAAAAATGGCTGCCGTTTTGAGCGGCTGATGTGATTTTCTAAAGTTATGGCTTCACAGCAAATCGATGGATTGTTATATTTGTATCCACGTCTGAAAGACAAGTTGAAGTATCTGGAACCACTCCCGTGTCTAAAAGTTCATCGTATTTTAAACAAAACGTTACAAACTTTTACATCGCCGTACGTTTTGTGTTTTATTGTTATTTTGACAAAAATAATGTTAAATTCCTTCTGGGTGTGCATCCAGAACCATCTTGAATGGAGTTGTCTCCAAAAGTTCATCGATTGTAGACAGACATCTGATGTGTACTTTCTGAGAGTTTCATTAAAATCTCTACTGTGGTAATTAAATATTTTGCTAACAACAAGAAAAATACTCCAGATGTACTCCAAACAGACTCACGGGCGGTTACATGATCGCCCACCGTCCATGGTGGGAATAATGATGTAAAACAGTTCACTCGTGTTTTTCTTTACTTCATTAAGGTTTAATTTTATTGGATTTACTTATAGTTTATTTTCTGTAACTTTGGTCATCTTGTTGGAGACACGATAGCTCAGTGGTCAGTGCTGTGGTTTCATGATCCTGAGGCTGCAGGTTCAAGCCCAGGTTGGACCAGGAAGGACATCTGGTGTGAAACAATCCTCAAATCTTTCATGGAGTTTGATAAAAAAATAAATCCTCCATGAACCTTTAGAGCTCAGAGTTTTAAAGATGGCGGCCATCCTCTTTGCTCCGACTAGTCTTTAGCTCGTCAGTCCAGTCAGAACTAAACCTTGTTTTTCCAAACTGAAGTCCTTCAAAAAGCTATCTACAGCAGGTAAGATATTAAACGTCCATAACCTATCCAGAGAACCTCACCTTCAAACAAACTGAACTATTGATGGTCCAACCCGTTCAGTTCATGCTTCAGACTTTCAAAACAAGAGTCTTGATAAAGCTCCGACCCGTTCAGTTCATGCTTCAGACTTTCAAAATAAGAGTCCTGATAAAGCTCCGACCCGTTCAGTTCATGCTTCAGACTTTCAAAATAAGAGTCCTGATAAAGCCAGTTTTCTGTCAGACCGCTCTACTCGTCCCTGAACTCACCAAAGTTCTGTTTGTCTTTCTGTTCCAGGATTATCTGCTGAGTCACATGTACAGCAACGCAGCCAGAGACGACCTGTGGACCAAGCTGTCCCAGGTAGGACTCACTTGCTGGGACACGGTTCCCCTTCTGGGCCCGCGGGTCTTACGGCAGAGCAGAACCTCCCTCGCTGCAGTACCGAGGGAGGGGCAGCCTGACTCTGTGAAGCCGGTGATTACTGAGCGGTCCTAACGAAGGCCAGAGACGCTCGTTAGGACTGATTTGATGTCAGAGGAAGCTTGTTGCCGTGGTAACCTGAGTGTCTGCTGTAGGCTTGTTTTCTTATTTGTCCTGCACATAATTGAACTGTAATCACCTTCGATGGCGCCTTCATCACACACTGTTTGATTAGCTGCTGGCCAACCAGATCTCTAATTACCTGAAGGTCAGTGCACGTGCTCTCAGTCCATCAGGACGTCCACGCTTCTCGTTTTGTTGCAGGCCATGCGTTCAGAGGGGCGGGACATCGACATCGGGGAGATGATGGACAGGTGGACGCTGCAGATGGGGTACCCCGTGGTCACCATCAGCAAGAACCAATCGGAGCAGCTGCCGACTCATTCCATCACCGTCAGCCAGGAGCACTTCCTGTACGGAGAGGAAGTGAGGACAAACCTCAGGTTAGAGACGTCTTCTCAGTCAGCCGCGCCGCGGCCCAGAGTCGTCCTGAAACTCTGACGTTGGTCAAACACCACGTTGGTGAAACTCCACGTTGGTGAAACGCCACGTTGGTCAAACGCCACGTTGGTGAAACGCCACGTTGGTGAAACGCCACGTTGGTGAAACGCCACGTTGGTCAAACGCCACGTTGGTCAAACGCCACGTTGGTCAAACGCCACGTTGGTCAAACGCCACGTTGGTCAAACGCCACGTTGGTCAAACTCCACGTTGGTCAAACGCCACGTTGGTCAAACGCCACGTTGGTCAAAC